CCAATGCAAATAGACATTCAAAGATTCTTGAACAGTGTTTAACACCAAACATTATTAATCAATTATTGTGGTTAGAATTTCATTTAGACACTAGTCAAAAAGAGTTAAATAGTTATATTACCGAGAAAAGAAACTATTTTCCTAGATTTTATTTTATATCAGATAATGATTTATTGTTCATTTATGGTAATTCTAATCCAGTTGTTATTCAGGAGTATATTATTCAGGTTTAAAAATTGAAAATATGTACCAATTTAAATTTTAATAAACTAAAATGATTAATAAATGTAATTTTATTTTTTATTTTAGATATTTGATAATATTAAAAGTCTTGTATATGAAGTAAAAGATGAAAGTTATACAGTTAAAGCAATGAAAACAATTAATGATGAAGTATTAGTATTTAAAAATTCTGTGATAATTAAAAGTACTGTTGATAGATGGATGCATAAAGTTATTGATCAAATGCGAAAATCAAATCGTTTTATGATTAAAAAAGCTATATTGGATTTAGGATTTATTTCATGTTCAAGTAATAGATTTGATTGGATAAATAATTTTCCACTATCAGTTTGTTTAACTGCAGATAATGTATGGTGGACAGTCGAAGTAGAAAATGTTTTTGATGAAATTAAATTAGTAAGCCATATTTATATTAATTTAAATAGCACAATCTTTATGATTTATAGCCAACTAGTTTTTAAATAATACAGAATTCTAATGCAATGTTATCATAGATTATAATTGTTAATTCAATAAAAATATCAATGTTTATATATACATTGTTTTTAGGGTAACCGTTTAAGCATGAAACAATATTTGAATCAATTGAATAAAAATATCAGTGATATAGTTTTACAAATTAGAAAAGAAATGTTGGGAAATAGAAGAAATAAATATAGCTCTATAATAATTTCAGATGTCCATCATAGAGACGTTATTGAATCATTTGTTATAAACAAGTAATTAATTTATGAACTTTCTAATTAGTTGTTTATACATATAATTTTAATATAACTTTTAGTGTGATCTTTGCAAAATCTTTTGAATGGGACAGCGTAATTAAAACATACTGGATAAAAAGCAAGGATAATTTATTCGTATCTCAGTGCTCTGGTAAAATCTTAGTATATTAATGATACTTAAATATTTAATATTAAAGGATTGTACAACTATAAAATATGATTTTTATATAAAATTTGAAAAATACATTTAAATATGAGATATATTGTGTTAAATACTAACTATTTGAGTGCCCCATACCCAGTTGTTGGAGTTTGTCATCTGTCCATATTCTCAAATCTAATAATGGTTTAAATATTTTTAGGATTTTTTGACTATGAATATGAATTTATAGGATCTACTAAAAACATTGTTATAACCCCATTAACCAATCGCATATTTTTGACATTCACTCAAGCATTAATGATGTGCTTAGGTGGTGCAACTCATGGTAAGAAAATAATGTTAGAAATATTTTGCTTCATAACCATAGTTGTAGTGATAATTATAATTTACAAGCTTTAAAGTTTAAATTATAAAGAATAACTACTAAAAAAAATATTTGCAATAATAATTTATTTGTTTGTATTAACTAATATAATGAAGTCATAAGCACTTGTTAGCTAATTTACATTTTACATAAATAATGTTATTTTAATTATTTGTTTATAGTTTTGTTAAACGTGCATGTTATACACAAACATTTGTAATATAGATTTTATTATTAATATAATTATAATAATTATTATAATCACTTTCTAAAGTATCATTTAGTATACGAGTATATTTCATAAATTATTATTAAAGTTTTAAAAGTTTTCTAATTCTTAAAAAATTATGTTTTTAATTTAGTATAATGTTTATATAGGTCTTAGCGGAACTGGTAAAACTGATACTATTATGGCTATGGCAACAATTTTTGGCAATATATGTAAAGTTATTAATTGTAGTGATGGGTTAGACCATCAGTCATTTAGTCAGTTTATAAATGGAATTTGCCAAAGTAAAATTTGGGGATTATTTACCAAGTTCAGCAGAATTTCTCAAAAAACATTGTCTGTTATATCAAATTTACTATTTTCTATAAAATGGTCACTAATTGGGAACAAAAACGAAAATGTGATTTAGTTTTAAAGTTTTATTTATATTATGATTTATTGATAATAATTAATGATTTTATTTAGTTTCAGGAATATAATATAAGTATAAGTCCAAAAGTTGGTATATTTATTACTTTAAATATTGAAGAAGTTAATGAGCAAAAAAAAGAGATTGATGAAATAATTAAAAGTCATTTTAGACCAGTGATTTGTCTTCTTCCAGATTTTGAACAGATATGCTTCACTATTTTATATTCTGAAGGATTTTTAGAAGCTAAAGTAAGATCTTAGAAACTATTTATTCTTGAATTTAAAATTAAAAAAAAAAAAAAATAGTAGGATTATTATTATTTTTATTTTATTAGATTTTATCAAAGAAAATATCGTTACTATATAAGTTGTGCAAAGATGAACTTTCAAATCCATTAAATTACACATTTGATTTAAGGTCGTTAAAACTAGTCATCAAGACTGCAAGACACTTACTAATCGAACAACCAGAACTTGAAGAAAACTTAATAATAATGAAAATATTACGGTTGGCATAGTAAAATAAAAATGATAAATACCAATTATTATTAATTAATAATTATTATTGTAGGATTGTAGGTTATATTATTACCATAGTTTTGAATAGTTTTATTAAAAAATAAATATTTATTAAGTTTAAAAAAGAAAAACATATTATAATTTAATTAACATACCATAGATTTAAAAAGGATATAATAGATTCATGGCTTATTTATAAAATTAATATCTATTAATATACATTTTTTTTCATAAAAAATAACTGACTGGATACTAATGTAATTACTCGAACCTATACTAATGAAACGGCGTAATGTATATGCAAAATTAGTACATTACTGTATAGGAGTACAGTTTTAAATAGATTTTACTTACTTTTAAATTTAAAAACACAAGCTTAATGAGTATTATATTAATTTAGAAAACATTTATTTGGGTAAAAAATTAATTTAGGTTGTATATTTTTTTCAGAGATTTGAATTTGCCTAAATTAATTGATAAAGATATCGCTTTATTTTTGTCATTTTTATCTGACTTATTCCCAGATGTCAAATACATAAAAAAAACAAATGCTGATTTGATTAAAGCTGTAGAAATGGCTTTGAAGCGTGAAAAATTTGTAAAAATTGATAATCAAATAGAAAAAATTATTGAAATTATGGAAATGCTAAAAAATAGGAATTCAATTGCAATTATGGGACCAACGAGTGGAGGCAAATCTGTTATAATTAATGTGCTATGTGAAACTTTAAATCATTTAAAAACATCAACAAAACTTATAACGCTTAATCCAAAAGCATTTACTAAATTAGAGTTATACGGTTATGTAGATCCAATAACAAAATCCTGGAATGATGGATTATTGACAAATATTTTCCGAAACATTAATCAACCAATAGTCCCTAATAATCAGTCAAACCATTTTATTTTGTTTGACGGTGATATAGATTCATTGTGGGTTGATGATTTAAACCCTGTCATGGATGATAATAGAATGTTAACATTATCAAACGGAGAAAAGATTAGGTGAGTTATTTATACTACCACAACTTAAATTTTTATTAAGTATAAGCGTAATATAATAAAAAGAATAATATATATATTTATAAATTATCTTCATTTTTGGGATATACATTTTTACTGTCACAGATAGTTTAATCTAGTCACACATTTTTAATATTAGTTCAAATCTAGACTAAAATTTGTTTATTTTTTGTTATACGTTTAAATATTGTTATCAATTTTATACTATTTTTATAGGATAAAACCACAATGTAATTTGTTGTTTGAAGTCGGTCACTTATCATATTCTGCTCCATCCACGATATCCAGAATGGGTTTAGTGTATGTCGATCCTTGTAATCTCGGTTATATGCCGTTTTGGGTACGGTGGTTAGAACCACGTAGTTTAATGGAGCAAACAGCATTAGATCAATGTTTTCAAAAATACGTACCCGTGTTGTTGAATTTAATTTTTGAAAATGAAAATTATTTGAATAAATTAATCCCGCTTAAGACTGCTGTTTTTCAAACTAGATTAAATATGGTAAATATTAAATATACAATTTTAAAACGCATTATTATAAATAAATATGTACTCTCATTAACCACTAAGAATGGAATTTAAAAAATAATGGTTTATTTTTATAACGTTTTTAGATTACTCAACTTTGTTTTATTTTGGATACAATATTACCTTTAGTTTCATCAGACAATAATGATTCAATTAAAGTTGGCCGTAAAAAAATTGCAATGACTAGTAATGATATTGCTATTCCGCTGACTTCAATGATTTCGTTTGTGGCTGGTATGGGAGTGTTAGAAGCTGTTTTTATCCAAGCTTTATATTTATCACTAGGTGCGTTACTAACTGATGTAACGTCTCGTCATATTTTTGATGAAAACGTTAAAAAATTATCTGGTTTTGTAAATGGTCCAAATGTTCACGAACGATCAAAAAATCAAAATTTGAAATACATACCTTCCGACGAGCCTACTTGGTATGATTACTATTTAGATTTTAATACACTGGAATGGATATCGTGGAAAAAGGCAATCCCAGAATATATCCATAATAATACGATTACATTCAATGATATACTTGTTCCTACAGTGGAATCTACAAGATTAGTGTGGATATTAAAATTAATAAACGAAGTATTTATAACAATATTCATTATTATTTTTTATTGCATACATAATTATGTTATATTTTATACACAAACATAACACTAATAATATTTATTTCAGTATTACTTTAGAAGTGCAATATTTAAAAAGGTAAACATTTCTTACGATATTTTCTATTTTTTACACAGTGTACGTATTTATTTGTTTTTATAGGTTAAACGTCCTACAATTATAGTTGGTGACATGAGTTCCGGAAAAACAGCAACAATGAAATATTTCATACGTAATCTTGATCAAAAACATTATGTAAATAGAATTTTTATATTTTATTAATTTTAATATGTAGTTAAAATTAACATTATATACATATTTATAAGTTTGATAAAATGATTAATGTATTTTTAAATATAATGATTTTTGGTTGATTAAATGACAATTATTTGTCTTAGAAAAATTTTATACAGATGTGTTTTAATTAAATCTGAAAAATTAATTATCATCCGAAATTATTCAAGTATTTAATATTCATTTTTAAAACTTGATTTATATATGAAGGCATAAATTATTTTCGGTGTATACATAATAGTGTAACGATAATTTATGTTTTTAAAATTATAGAATAATAAAGGTTAACTCAATAGTATAATAGTTAATTTAATTGTATTTTTATTTTTAGATTAAAATGGCGTTGAATTTATCGGCTAGGACTTCGTCATTAGATGTTCAACAAAATTTAGAAACAAATTTAGAAAGACATTCTAGAAAATCATATGGCCCACCAATTGGAAAACGATTAGTTTATTTTATTGATGATTTAAATTTGCCTCAAGTAAGCACGTCCCTATATTTATTATATTTCATTTTTCATTATTAAGAAAGAATATATACATAATATTAATAAACATCTAAGCTTTTGTTGAGAAGAAAGATAACGGTATCAAATTCAAAATATTTAGTTCTATATAATTAATTATTATTACTGATAAATTAATGTATTATTATTAAATAACACTGATAAATATTTATACATTTGAATATTAGATGGATGAATGTGGCACACAACAACCTATTGCATTATTAAAAAGTATATTTGATAAACAAGGAATGTACGATAGACAAAAATGTTTTGATTGGAAAGAACTTGTGGATATATGTACTTATTAATGACTTAATTAACAACATACATAATATCTATTTATAAGCTTTAAATTTAAATTTTAGGTTTTTTCGCAGCTATGAATCATATAGGTGGTCGAAATGAATTAGATGCACGTTTTTTATCACTATGTTCAGTTTTTTCGTTGCCGTTACCATCTGATGATACAATTCGATATATTTTCAATTCAATTTTATCTGGACATACAAAATCCTTTGAAGAGAACATAAAATCTGCAGTTCATAATATAATAAATATGACGGTAAATTTATACAAAGTAAGTTTTATGTTTTATATAAATTAAGACAATGGGTTACTTTTAAAATAATCAAATTATTTTAAATTTAATGTCATTGAATTACATGTCAAATAAATTTTGTATATATTATCGTATACAATTATAGTAATTGTGTTGTAATTTTAGTTGGTACTTAAAAAACTTCATCAAACACCAGAAAAATTAATTTATGTATTCAATTTGTGTCATGTAAGTTTTATCATTAATGGTATGACTCGCATATTGCCTAACACATTTACGACTACAGAATCTTTTGTACGAGTTTGGAGGAACGAGTTCACTAGAGTGATATGTGACCGATTAATTTATCAACAAGTATTATTATATTTTATATTAAAATATATAATCTAAATAAAAAAAAAAATTATTTTTCTTTATTTGCTATAAACATATTAATAATATGTATATTGTATAATTCCAAGATTGAAAATAAAAAACAAATAATGACAGAAATTATTTATAAAACTAAGAATTTGTTTTCAAAAGAGTTTGAATATTTTTATCAGGATCGAGAAATGATTGAATGTCATCTTACTCAAGAATTAAAATCATATTTTCCTTTACACATGGAATATGTTCTTAGAGATCCTCTTTTGTTCGGTGACTGTAGGAATGCTATGAGTGCGAACAAGCAAATACGAATATACGAAGACTTAATAGATTATGATTCTGTATTTTATTTATTTCAAGAAGTAAGCATTATTAGTAATAATTTTTATTGGGTTAACAATGAAATAATTTAATATATTTCAGATACTTTTAGAATTCAAAAAATATCATGGTTTATTAGATATGATACTTTTCAATGATGCTTTAGATCATTTAATAAGGATTCATCGTATGCTAAGGATGGATAGAGGACATGTTTTGTTGATAGGTTCTAGTGGAAATGGAAAAAAATCGCTTTCTAAATTAGCTGCATTTACATCTGGTAATATATTACATCACAATTAGTGATATTTTTGATCGTAATACGACCCTAATAATTACTTATTCCAGTATATATATATATATTCATTATTCAAATTACACATAATTGCATTATTTGTTTCTACTATTTATTAGTGATATTATAGTTATATCCTGTCCATTAAAATAAATTTAAAGTATTTGTTTATTTCTAGGATATGAAATATTTATAAATAATTCATTTCATTCGAAACATAGTTTTAAATTGAATGAACAAAAGTTTAAACAGGATTTGAAAGATATATTTTTGAATGTAGGAATAAAAAATCAGCCTACTGTTTTTATTATTGACAAAGTTGATGTTATTGAAGAAGGTAATTAAAAACAATGTAATAAGCACTACAATTTAAAACTTGCAATTTAAAATATATCTGTAATTAATAATATTATATCATATTATTATGTTTATTTTTTATTTCACTTTTTTCTAGTCTTTTAAACATTAATGTAGGAAAAATAATATATCATTGTATTTAATTTATGTCACTTAACATGATATTATATTAATGTGAAACATTTTTTTTTTTTATATTTTTTGTATGTTTTATGAAGGGATTTTAGAATTTATCAATAATATATTAACGAATGGGTTTGTACCTTCATTATACTTAGATAAAAAAGAAAATTTAGAAATCGCTGAGCATTTTAAAAATGTAAATATTAATAAATCAAGTGAAATCAATACGTAAGTTTTTTTTATAATACATTAAATAACACACATTTATGAGTTATTATTTTTTGATTAAATTTTATCAATTTAGAAACATTTGTTGGGATATGTTTTTAAAAAATTGTCTAAACAATCTTCATATTGTACTGTTAATGTCACCGGGAAACAACCTAAGATTGATATTTCAAAATTACCCCGGTTTCGTGAATAAAACTTATGTTGACTGGATCAATAAATGGCCCGTGGAGGCATTAAATGCTGTGGTGGAAAAAGTTTTGATAAACGTATGATATTTAATACTATTTTTTCAATTTGGTGCAAAGGGAATGTTGGCTCCATTACTACTATATGTATTTTTGTTTACTTAATATTATCACGATGTTAGGTATGACTACGTAAGTGAAAACATGTTAACTTAAAAGGATTGTGATTTTCACGCAATTACGCAACACTAAATAAAAATTATTTTAAAACTGAAATTTTCTTACTAAACTATATAATATGTTTTATTTTTAAATTATAGTAACTATATTAGGTTTGTGTAAAATACGGTAGTTTTCATTGCAAAGTTCTATTATTTATAATAATTATAAAATTATGAGAAATGGAGTTTACATAATCCTAGAGTCATTTAAAAATATAGGGAATACTGTAGAATGGCTGACATAGGCGTAACTAGACCTTAAAGTTAGGGGGGGCTTTAGCCCTAGAATTTTTATTATAAGTAAATTAAGTGGGAGGCTCTGCCCCTCATACCCCCCAAACACCTTACATTCATTGATTATACATATAATATGAATATAAATTAATATTTAATTATAAAACAAATAATAAACCAAGTGGTATTGAGGTTAAATATTTATGTATTAACATATTATTAAGTATTATTTTAGGTATAAAGAATTTAACGATTTTTAGTTTATTGACAACTTCTTAGTAGGGAGTATTTGTGTAGTAAAAATTACACAACATGATACGTCTTACACAGGATCATTACATACAATAATATAGTTTAAATTAATATTTTTCCAAGATATTAAATTTAAAAAATAAAACGATATTTTAAATTTAAGTTTAAAAAATGTTACTATTATTACCGGGAGTGTGGGACTAGGAATTATGAAAGGGGGGGCTAAAATCTATGTTGGGGGGACGAAGCCCCCCAAGTCCCCCCCTAGTTACGCCTATGATGGCTGATTGTTTATTTTTTAATATATCAAAAACTATGATAAATGCATATTTTATTTATTTGTCACTTTTAGGATCAAATTATTTCAGATATTTACGTTAACAATGTAATAAAGCAAATTGTTTATATGCATAAATCTGCAGAAGACTATACGAAAACATTTTTTAAGCATACATCTCGAAAAATTTATTTCACGTTGGAACACTTAGTAGACTGTATTCAAATGTATAAGAAATTAGTTAGAAAAAAATCGAGTTTATCATTAATTAAGGTATTGTATTAATTAATTAAAGTGGTGAGCTTATAAAATAATATTAAATTTTAATAATTCACAATAAATAATATAAAATATTATAAAAATATAAAATATTGAGTTAAAATTAACTTAAATTAGAAATTTAAATTGAATCACACGATAGTTATATTAAACTATTTATTCTTTGGTATTTATAATTATATTTTTATATTCATACTTTATACTTATTCAACAAATGAAAGTAATTTGCAATATACATTTAAAAACAATAAAAAATTTTGAAATAAAACTTATATATCTTTACATATAAATATTAATACATATTACATTCTTACTTATAAATTACCTCAATGTTTTAAAATAAAACGTTTTTATTTTTTTATTTTTGACTTGGTGTTATAAATTAATCAAAGTATTATTTTAAATTACGAGTGGAAAGATTGAGGCTGTCAAGGTAATATAAGTTTTTAGTTGTTAATAATGAGGGTACCTATGATTTATTTTCTTTAAAAAAATTTTCAAATAGTTTCATAGACAATAAAATTTCTATGTACCTATTAGAAACTGAACACAGTTTAAACAATAAAATTAAATAATTTTTTTTATGTAACAATAAGCTTTATTTACAGCTATTTTTTTGAAGCAGATTTATAATTATTTTTAAATTTAAGAATACTCATCTCATTAACCCATTTAATGTAACTTCATTTCACATTATAAATTGTATTTCTTGTTGTCGTCATCATCAATTGTTATAATATTATAGATAGTTCAAGAATCTAATGTTTTAATATTCTAACATAAATAAAATATAGATTTCATATAGATAACGACCCTGATACTTTTACTTGTATAATGTATAGTAGTATCAGTATCGTATAAGTACTTAATCTTCTGTGATTATAACTACTTTAATTCCATGACATTATGACCCATTTATCTGTTTGTATATAATATAATATAAGGTCCACCTGTTATGTATACTTTAATGAATGATTTGTAAAATAATTAATTATTCATGTTATACTTATATATCATACAGTTAGGTATACTATAATTAATATTTTAATTTATTAAATTGTATTTTTTTAAAGTCTCAACAGATCCAGAGTGGATTAAAAAAAATAGATGAAAGTACTTTAGAACTTGATAAGATAAATAATACGTTACTTGAGCAAGACTTATCTATAATACATAAGAACGAAATGTGTCAAGATTTTATGAAGCAAATTAACGATACTCGTATACTTGTAGAAGAAATAAAATCTATTGTGAATAATATTACTGAAAAATTAAATTTAAAAAATGAACAAATTATAAGCACAAAAAATCAGATGAAAGAGTTAGTTGATAAAACATTACCAATTTTAAGTAATACTAAAACTTTATTGAATGAAATTAATTCAGATGATTTAACAGAACTAAAGTAAGTAAATATTATTATTAATATTACATAATTTTTATCAAGAAAAATTTAATAACTTCTAATAACCATCATGAAAAATATTTAAACATAGTATGAAAAAGTTTTAATGAAAAATAATAATATTAATGTATTTTTAGATCTCTGGAAACACCATCTGAATCAATTATGACTTTACTTGAATGTGTAGCTATTTTAAGAGGTCTTAAAGATATGAATACATGGAAAAGTTTAAGTGATATGATTGAAGATCCAAATTTTCTAAATAATTTACAAGAATTAGATGCAAATAAAATTAACCAAAGACATCAAACTCAAGTTCGAACAAAGTTAAAATTTTTGAAAAAAACAATTGATATTCAAACTATGAGCAAAGTGGAAATGAGCTTATTAAATATTATCGAATCTATTTTAAAATACTGTCATATTTATCAAGATATTATACCATTAAAAAATAAAATAAATAAATTTGAGAAAGATTATATTAATTCTACTTTAAAACTAAAAGAATACGAAGATAGTTTAGAAAATACCCGATGCACTATATCAAATTTAGAAAAATCATTAGATGACATATCTAAGGAAAATATTGAACTTAAAAAAGAAAATTGTAAATTGAAAATTAAATTTGATTATGCTGACAAGGTTATAAAAGAACTAAAATCTGTACACGAAAGGTAAAAATAATAACTTAAATATCTTTATTGCTTAAAATATTTATATAAGTAACTAAAATTTTATATTTATATTTTTAGATGGATTATAGATTTAGAAAATCAAACCATAATAAAAAATAAAATAATTGGTAATTGTTTACTGAATGCTTCATTTTTAGTGTATGCTGGTCCATTTTCATTAGAATATCGTGAAAAAATATTTTTTAACGACTGGTACAATCATATTAATGATCTGGGATTACCAATTGACTTAAATACTGACCTAGAAAAAGAAATAATGGACGAAAAAGTGATATACGAGTAAATAAATCAATTACTTAATTTTCAATTAATATTTTTTTAACAAAATGAAATTTTATAATATTTAAGAATTTTCAATTAATTTATTACAAAGTAGAGATGCATTAAAATCATTTTTAATATTATATTTCAATTATTAGTATAATTATACATTTTATATATTTTTTTATTTTGTTCTTTATAGTTTGATTTCAAATGGGTTGCCTTGCGACAAATACACAATTCAAAATGGAATATTGATGACACAATCTAATAGATTTCCTCTTTGTATTGACCCACATAATCAAGGGTTTAATTGGATAAAAAACCATGAAAAAAATAACTCATTAAAAATACTTTCATTTGCTGATAACGATTATATTGTGCATTTAAAAAATGCTTTGCAATATGGACAACCAGTAATTTTTATTGATTTTGAAAACATAAATTTAGACATAAAGGATTTATTAAATAAAAATATACAATGTAAGTAAAATAAGTTAAAAGAAGTTCTTATTTTTAAATATTATTTTTCTACAGAATATGTGTGTTTATGTTTATTTATTTAGCGGAGTCATTTGATTCTGAATTTATTGAGATGGATGATAAAAAATATAAATATAATAAAAACTTTAGATTATATTTGGTAACTAAACAAACTAATCCAAAGATTACAACATCCATTTACTCCAACATGACTGTAATAAATTGTTCTATTACACAAGAAGTAAGTCAATATAATATAAATAAATAATATAGTTAATTATTGAAGGCCCACGTCCATATATTACTTATATTAGTAATACCGTATATTTGTCCGTCCTAAATTTAGCTGCTTTTTTAAAAATAAATATGTTTTTATCATTCCGTGCGCAAGGGAGAGAGGTACATATTTTGCATATAGATCATTATAGACATGGGTTTAAGGAAGTTTACTTCTGTAAGATTCCTGAAGTATAATGTTTTATTAAAAGTTAATAAAAAGATTTCATATATTTAAAAAATTATATAAAAATACAGTCGACTCTCAGTAACTGGAAATTTGATAACTCTAAATTCTAGGTATCTTAAACAAATAAAATTCTTCTTCAAATAATAATAATTTAAGAGTGTTAGCACTTAATGTTTAAATAATTTTGTTAACTTCAAAATTAATTGGAAAATTTTTCGATATCTCATATTTTCTTATCCAAATTTAGTATTAAAAACATGTAGTTTATCTCCGTGATTTTTAAAATTCAATCATTACAGTTGACTATCAGTAAGTAGAACGTTGATACTATTCATTATATTTCAGTTTATTTAATCGTGCATTGTGTGTTAGTGTTAAACGCGTTACGTTATGACTCAAAAAAGAAAATTGACAACATTATCACAAGCAAAAAAAATTGAATTTGCTTAAAATTATTAAAAACAGCGAGAATAAAAAATAAAATATAGCCAGAGAATTTTGAATTCCAGATAGTACGTTGTTTACAGTTATAAAAAATAAATATGTAATTTCAAAAAAAGATTTATAAAAACTCGGTGAATTGTAAAAACATTTAAGTAGGCGAATACTCTGATATATATATATAGAATCATATTTATTGAAATGGTTTCATCAATATTCTTCCAAAAAATGTGAAGAACTTGGACATTATTAGGGCATGAACATTTTAAAGTCAGCGGTGGAGTTAGTTAAAAAATTGGAAAACCAGGGATAACATGATTTTTAAACAAATTTGTGATGAGAATGGTGTTGTAGATGTATAAAAATGTGTTTAGATTTTTTTGTGTGTAAACTTCTTAAATACTTAAGCAATAAATTAATACTTTTTTAAGATTTTAATAACTAAAAAAAATTTATTGAGTCGAATTTCTTTTGCTCTCCATGAATTTTGAGTTACCAAGAGTCAAATATATAATAAATTTTTAAAATAGTAATTTTTTTATAATCCCCTTCAGAAAAAAATTCTTTTCACAGACCTAGTTTCTATTTATATTTATAATGAAGTATTAATTTTGTTAATTTACTCACTTATTTAGTTTTATTTGTATTTAGGGATTAGAAGGTCAACTACTTAATTTGTTGATTAAACATGAAATAAAAGAACTAGAAGATAAAAAAGAATTAATAGTAAAAAATATATATCAAAATAAGGAAGCACTTGAAGCATTTAAAAATTCGTTTATAAAAGAAATCATAAACTGCGCCGAACCTTTGATTGATAATTCAGATATTTTAAATAAACTTGAAGACATAAAATTAAAAACTAATTTATGTTCTACAGAATTAAAATCGTCTATTAAATCAATGTCTTTAGTTAATCAATCTAGAGATGTTTACAAATCTGTATCACAAAAAGGAACTTTATTTTATAAGTCTCTGTATGGATTAAAAGAAATTAACTCTTTGTATCAATTTTCAATACAGTCATTCATCAAATTATATTTAAATTCGATTGATTCAGCAAAAAAAGATCAAAATGTAAAAAAACAGGATATCAAATATTATCGTTCAACTCACAAATGATGTTTACGAATTTACTAATATCAGTGTTTATGAAAAGCACAACTTATTATTTTTATTTCAAATAGCGTGTACATTAGATAAAGATGCAGGACGTTTGTTGAATTCTGAATTAATGTTCTTCATCAAAGGTAAAATTGTAGGGTCTGAAAATGTTACCATAAAAAACCCAACAACATGGTTATCAAATAAATGTTGGCAAAATGTTATTAATTTAAGCACAAGCTTTGAAAATTTTTCGAATTTAATTGAACATATTTTTAGTAACATCGTCAAATGGAAAGAGGTAAATTATATATTTTTATTGTTTATTTCAATGTAGTGCTACAATTAGTCATAGAAATTAAATGAAGCAATAATGATGTTAATAACGAAAATAAAAATTTGTGTCATTATCACAAAAATTATATATTGAAATTTGTATATGGTTGAAAAACATAAAATAAGAAGAACTATGTTATTTATATCTTAGAAAAGAGAAAATAAATTGAAAATTGAAAGGAGGGAGTTGTTTGAAGAGTTAAAATGGGATAATATATAATTTTTTTAGATAGATAAGGTTATAAAACTAATAGTTGGGCGTGATGGTTTGAAAAATTGTTTCATATTAAACGCAGTTAGAGTTGAGAGAAGTCAATATTTCAAATGTTTCAATCATAGATATTTAATGCATATCTCAATGTATTAGTTTGTTCATGGAATTTTGTATTGAAAAAACATTTTTGAGATGCTATGGGCTTAGTTAATTTTTTAGAAAATTTTTTATTGAGTTTTACGTATATAAATAATGAAAACTCTCATTAATCGCTTAAAAATTAAATTAAATTATCCTAAAAACTTTGTATACAAACACAGATAAAATTCTTACCAATAAGTTTCACAATGGGTTGATTTACTTAAATATAAAAGTTAATGAAGTTAAACGTGAACTACTGAGTATAGATTTTTTATGTTCCGCAGTTATACAATTCAAAACAGACAACGAATGCGGGTATAGTGTACTCTCAAGATAAATATTAAAAATATTTTTCTTTCGTCTATTATAATTTATTGTTAATGTGCATAAGTGTAAGACATTTTTTTATTCAGTTATAACAAAATCAAATACTAATATAAAATAGTTTTAAATAATATGATTTAAAAACTTAATATTTTTTATACTTGACTAATAACTATAATTTATACTTAATGTCTTAAATTTAATACTAGTAAAATTTAGAACTATTGAACTTAGTTTTTATTTTAATATTTATAAGATAATTTTACTAATATATTTGTATTCTAGTGGTTTTATTCGGAATATCCAGAATCTGAAAATACAATACCTATCAAAATTAACAAATATTTTGAAGTTTTAATGCTTATAAGATGTTTTCGAACTGATCGAGTATATCAATCTGTTAAAAATTACGTTTATCAAATAATTGAAGTAAATAATGAGAGGTTTATCAATAACAAAAATACAAAGTAAATACATATAGTTTACAAATTTTAATTTTTAAAGTCATTTAATATTTTCAATTTCTAATAAATGTATCAGAGCAGAAAACTACTTTTTCTCTACTTTTGGTGACGCACATGGAATAATTTTAGCTATTATCATACAACTAAAAAAATATAAAAACATAATTTTTTATGTTTATAATACATAAAAATTAAAAATTAATTCGTAATTAACAATTATTTTAATATAGAGTAAAAAAAAAAAAATGTTTTATTATTATTATAATTATTATTAGAATAAACTTAGAATTACTTAGCGCGCGCAAATATGTAGTCTGATATTACGTACGTCACTTAAGGTTAATACTTTTTTCTACGGCAAACCATCAATAATAAAAAAAATAAAATAATTAAAATGATAAAGAAAAAGAAATTTAAATACGTAATATTTGAAATAATCGTATATTTTATTTTAACTTTAAAATTGGACTCTAGCTACTTCTAAGGACTTGGCGAACCACGTATTATTCGTGGAATACAGGTTGAGAATTATAGTGTATTTCAGCATTTCAAATATTCTAACTAAAATTTGAAATTAAGTACTTTTTTTATGATTTTTAAATTTTATACTAATTTTTTTTTAATAATTTTTAGCTTTGGAAATATACATAAAAAATTTTCAAATTTAACTCCATGTGTTCTAATATTAAATAATGGATCTGATCCGACGAAGGATCTGACTAATCTTGCAGCAAAAAACGATATAACTGGTCCAACGTACAAAGTTCTTTCATTAGGAACTTTCAATGAAAATGTAAATTTTATTAACTAATAAATAAATATCACTGCATAAAAGAACTAGAGGATTATATAAAATCTATTTTTAATAGGTTATTTATTTAGCTTTGAAATCTGCAATGAACCGCGGAAATTGGTTAATTGTTCAAAACTGTAATTTTTCTGTTCGTTTTCTATACGAAATTGAATATATATTAGAACAGTCAAACGCAAGTTGGCATCCAAACTTTAGATTATGGCTTATATTTAATGGAGATTCATTATTGAGTGATTCATTTCCAATATCTCTTTTGCTCAGATCATTAAAAGGTAACATTGTATTTACGTGTGCTAAATTTCCAAAACACTATACCTATATATTTTACTATATTATTATTGGAATAGTTATCATTGAACCTCCGAATCATATGAAGATAAGTATGCAGAAAGCTTTAGATAAATACGATTTTGACAATCAAGAAGATAAAAATCAACATCCTGCTATCAAATCATTGCTATATGCAATACTATTTTTCCATGGAATATTATTGGTAAACTCTTAGATTAAATATTTTTAGCTAAAATTATTATTTAAATAAAAAATTCAATTATATTATAGGAACGCAAAAAGTATAATCAATTTGGATGGAGTATACCATATAATTTTGAATATTCTGATTATGATATGTGTCAACTAATGATTACTATCTTTTTGAAAAAAAGTAAAGCAAATGAAATACCATGGATTACAATTAAATATCTAATTGGTGAAATCATATATGGAGGAAAAGTAATCGATAGCTATGATCGCAAGATTCTCTTAACATATGTGGATGAATATTTTGGTGATTTCATTTATAGTTCTTACCAACCGTTCAGCTTTTACAATTGTAAAGATTGTAATAAGCCACTAAAATACATAGAGATGGAAAGAAAATTATTTGAAAGTAATAAACCCAGTCTAATAGGTAAATAGTATTCAAGAAATACATTCTTATAAATAGCTGTATATTTTTATTTAATTTTTTCTTAGCAAGAAGGGGGGTAATTTTTTAATTAAACAACTCGATTTCATCATTAAATTTAACATCAATAAAAATGTTTTGATCCATAGCTCATAGTAAGGCTTGGCCAAAGCTATTCATTGTTATTTTGAACAGCTTTTTAATATTTTCTTATGCCAACATATTCGGGATTGGAAATCTATGCAAAAGATACTTATTATGTTTTTTACGATTGTTTCGTTGATTTTTTGAACTATAGTTGGTTACGTTACGATATTTTTGATAACGTATGAAAATGCAGTGCTTAGGAAACTAGATTTTATTAATTATTTTGTTATTTTTATTAGATTGATTGATTTATATAGTTTTGAGTACCTATACCTTTTACTGTAAAAACAATATACAGATACTATTTGTTTAAAATTAAATATTCCCAATGTTAAATATAATATATTCATTATAATAATTTATTGAGCGTTATTTTTAGTCTGATATTAGTTGAGTTTAAATTAATTAGGTATTTATTAAATCACCAAAGAAATGTAATTTTCAAAATGAGATAAATTTAAATTTTAAAATGTGATGAAAAATTGGATTTTTGTGAATTTTATAATATACTTGGTTTCCAATAGTTTTCCTATTGATAATTAAAAGAGTCTTTCACATGTTATGCTAAATATTTGTATAACTGAACTACTTTTTGAAAACTCTTATATTAATAAATGGATAGCAATAATTTGTACTTTATTTAGTATTTTTTTTATTATTTATTTAATCAATCCATATTATTAACCATACATTATACTAGCCCGTAATCAATTTTATATCATATGATGGCCTTACATATTTAGCAAAATTAAAATAGAGTAACATTAATAATTATTATTATAATTGTTGATAAATAATATACGTAATTATTCTAATTTACTGTTAATAATTATTAATAAAATATATTTTTTATGTTTATAACAATAGAAGTAGTTAATGAATTGCCATTGTCTATTAACCCGGAAGTTTGCGGATTAAACTCGAATGTTTTGTTTGGATACCATAATAATTTAGCTGAACTTTTGTGGACAGACATGATCAAGTTATATCCAAGTGTTAATATAATTGATGATGAAAATACTGATTGGGATAAAGTTGTACAAAATACTACTGAAGACATTTTAAAATCATTGCCTGAACTTTATAATATTAATAAAGTAAAAATGTTTTACGGAGATAAATGTTTTGCTCCTAATATTATAGTTTTACTTCACGAACTCGAGAAAATTAATGCGTTATTAGACGTTATGAAAAACACACTATCACAACTCTCAGAGGTAAAAGCTACTAGCTAGTATTTGTATTTATTTATTGATTTAATTATAAGTAGTAAAGAAATATTATATATTAATACATTATATTTAATTTATTACATAGGTGTTTCTAGGGAAAGTGGAAATGAATTCGATATTAGAAGAAGTTTCGATGTGTTTATACGCCGGTCGCGTTCCAGGTTGCTGGAGCAAATTATCACCACCGACGGTAAAATCATTGTCAGGTTATATTGAACACCTTATGAAACGTATACTTCAATATTCGAATTGGGTAAAATATAAAAGTTACACTTAAAGTTAAATACATAAATAATAATAAATAAACAAAACTAAAGAACAAAGTATTATTTAATTTTTTAATAAACTTTGTATGATTTATCAGAGTCAAATCAGACAACCATTAGTCATGTGGCTGTCAGGGTTGCATTCACCGAAATCATTTCTTACATCTTTGATACAACTGGCATGTAGAAAATATGATTGGTCAATTGAACACAGTATGTTATATACATCTGTTACGCAGTGGACTTATGAAAGCGAAGTCCAACGAGAACCAGATACCGTAAGTAAAACAGTTAAATTATATATTAGTAGGTAACTGTTTGTCTTATTATTTATAAAATACTGTAAAATATAGTTAAAGAACAAAAATTATAATAAATAAAATAATAATTAATCGATAATCATTAATATGCTGAGGTAAAAGCCACTTAATCTTTCCATCTATGACACATAATTAGGAATTAGCTGATCAGTTATAAATTATCAAAAAAAATTGACGATACGTGAACATAATAATATTTTTGCATCTAACAATTTTCAACACCTTTTACTTTTTGAATCATATTGTTATATTCTACAAAACTAAAATATAATACATTGTCACCTCTCTTTTTATTGGTTATTATTTTTTCGATTTTTTTGACTTAACTTTTTCTTGATAATTCCATAATTTAATACTATAATTAAATAAAACCACAACGATTTGATTACATTAAAATTTTTATTGAGCCATACTAGAATAACACAATTTATAAATATAAATGATAAAAAAATTTTATGACCATCACACACACAACTCATTAAAATAAAAGTGAAGATGCTAACTAAGAAACTAATAAACCATTTCATATCATTACTTGGGTAATCAATTTTAAGTGTTAACCATCATAAGATTGGGCAACGATAGGTATATTATCTAAGTTCAATTTTTTCAATAAAGATAAAATAAAACTATTAATAATAAAGCAGCAGATTGGCTCTGTGATACATTTACAAAGCCCAGAAAAGTTCAAGTATTTCAAAGTCTTTTGTGTATCTAATACAGATAGACATTTGCTCTTGCTTATGACACCTTTGAAAAATTACTTTCTAATTATTATACATTCTTTATTTATAAATAAATAGAAAAATTGTCTGTATTAATATTTTAATTACCTTGCTTTATCACACATAATAGAAAAACATCCAGCATCCTTAACTTCAGATATTATCATACTTTGAACATTATTCGCACATAAGCTAATAAGTTCGTTTTGTATTAACGGACTTATATCATAATTGTGTTTTTACTCGTTTATCTACTTTCACAGTAATATTTTTAACAAATTAAGCTATATTTCGTGTACACTTATCACTGGACATTCTTTTATGTCGTTCATATCGATATGATTGAATAGAACATCATTTTCTATCTAAACTGGAAACTACGACAACAACTAGAAAATGTCTAAATTTACAATATTTATTAATATCTAGGTAAATGACATAATTTACAATAAAAATACTTTAAATGCTACTTTTACATCATTAACCGTAACATAAAATGTCTATCATAAAGGCTCTAGAACTTTTTTTTTCGGATTAAATCAATGACGCCGTGGGAATCGCTTACGTATCACCTCCACGGAAAGGCTCAAGAACTAAAACATTAACTTTATAACACAAAAATTTAGAACAACAATACTAATATACCTATGGTATATTACCAATCTATGGCTCATGCATTTCGATCTATAGCTAAAATGTATACACTATAGCAAGTAAATTTGCATCTATGGTAAATATATTCACTCTATGGCATATATATTTGCATCTATGGCTTAAATATTAAATCTATGGCATAAATTCAAATATATTTATATTGGATTGAGTTAATAAAGTAGCCATAGATGTACAGATATATGCCATAGAGTTAATATTTAGGCTATAGATGCAAATTTATTCGCCATAGAATTTATAAAGTAGCCATAGATGCAAATATATTTGTCACTGAGTGTATATTTTAGCAATAGTTTCTAATAATTATTAATTATTACATTGAGTGTACTTAGAAAACCCGTTTGAATTGACGTTTATACGCATAATGATATACGGCCTTGTATTTGAGCGGGATACCTATCGTGACTCAGATTTGTGAATTTTTCATGATATTTATTATAAATTTAATAGCGTTACAACCTATATTAAGTATGCGGTTATGTCATATTCAATATATTCATTTGTTGCTGATCAAATATATGCAATCGTATTCTCAAATACATTAATCATAAGCAATCAGATGTTATTTTTAAAATACTACTATAATGCCTGATTACGTAAAATTGTGTTCGTCCAATAACATGCATATTTTTTTAATGCGCGTTAAACCAAATAATCTACAAAAAAAATAAAGGTTTTTCGCCTTTATTTTAAATGCTACACCTAATTAAGTTAAGTTTAATGTTTAATCGATTAATTTGTAAATGTTAAAGTATATTAATATATTATCTAAATTTATCTTAATCTGCTTATTATTTATATTACTTATGAATATATAGTGCTATGAAGATATATTTAATCTGGTATTAGTTTGTGTGTGTATGTAGATGACTGACCTTGGTGTCTTCTATTTGTAGTTATATTATAATATGTTTTTTTTAAGGGATGTTACATTACCGGATTATATTTAGAAGGTGCACGTTGGGATATGGATAAACAATGTTTGTCAGAATGTACTTTTCATAATACGTTTGAAAAGTTACCGATTTTAGCTATAATTCCTATTGAAACTCGCCTGCTAAAATTACCAAGGAGTTCAATTGCTATACCTGTTTACGTTACTTCAAAACGAGGAAATTCTATGAACGATAATTGTGTGTTTCAAGCCAATTTGAATACACTGCTACACAAGAGCTTTTGGATTTTACGAGGGATTTGCATTGTTATGAATACTGATTAATCATTTAATATTAACAACACTAATTTATTTTTATTCTATTTTTATTTATTTGTAAAGCAACAAATTCATAAAATATTATTATAATTTGTGAAACTATATTACATAACAATTATTAAATTTTTTAAACTAATTTATTTTATATAACTTTTAAACAATAACATTTAATTAGTTCAAAATAAATTATACATATTATATTATAATTCTACAATCAATGCACCATTAACGAATAGACTGTGCACGACACCAATTTTTTTGTCACAACTATGTTCAGTTCGTATTGTTGCTAACATTTCACCAACAGCAAAATGTGTTTCTGTACCGTTTTCAATAAATTCAGACTAAAAACAAATAAGTTTATATTAAAATTATTATTGCCTTATAATATTAATAAATATTATAGATTTTACCATTGCATCTGTAACTTGAGATCCGTTTACAATAATATCCATTGAAGCTTTATCTAAAAATTACCAGCACATGAAATATATATAAAAACAAATTTTATTTTCTGTAGATGATAAATTGTATTTTAAGTTTAACAGCTGAGTAAAATGTTATCTTGTTTAACCCTAACCTAACTCAAAATAAAGAAAGTATTATAACTAATAATATTACTAAAGTCAGCCAAATTGTTAAATTATTTTATTTCTAATTGAGTTGATTTTATCAATTAAATACATTTATTCATTGCGAGAGTTTTTATACATACAGCTAGTAGGACTTATTATTTTTCGTTTACTTAAATACACGGATATACGTATAATGACCCGTGTAGTGTTTATTAATACACGGATTTCCGGGTATTTAGGAATATACGTGTATTTAATAACATTGATACTTTAAAAATCATAATATATTAAAATAAATTTGGTAAGTTCTAGAAATTAACTTTATTAAAAAATAAGTTAAATAAGTTAAACAAGTAACAATGAGCAATGAACGATTTTATTGTAGGATAAATTTATTTAATAGTATAGATAAAAAATTAATAAAAATGTTTTATATATTATAAATTAAATTTTGTATTTTCTACACGCATAATTTAGAAAAATCCGTGTAATTAACACGTGATTGATATATAAGAATCTATGAACACGTTAAGAAAACACACGGGTTCTTAATTTCAAATACACAATTAACGGAATCCGTGTACACATGTATTTTAAGTATCCGTAGGATTTTTTTTTTTTTTTTTAAATAATTTTTCATTAATATTACCAAGAATAATTCGATTTTCAACACCGTCGTTCGTAGTAATTAACCAAGTAGATCGATTTTTTGAGATGTATTCGCAAAAATCTTTTAAGCTCTTTCCGTCAACCAACAAATCATATGTGTACATAAACAACCCATCTGGTTCTACTTTGATAGTGCATTGTACATTGTCTACATCAAAAACTTCATCTCCAACTAATCGAAACATCCATTCTTTTCGTCTCACTATCTGTTATTATTATAAAATAAACATTGTATAAATTAAAACTATTTATTATTTTTATATATTTATAATTTATATAAAACTTTAAGCATTCTTTTTTCTTTGTATTATTGAAATATTAACACATAATTATTATATCACTTAACTTTAAGCTTGTAGACTATATAAATGGAAATATGATTTGAAGAACGGAATTGGAATAAAAATGAAAAATGGAAAGGTTGATGTGATATGAAACAATCAATACACAAGTAACTGATTTTGTTTTATTTATGTAGCAGTTAAAATAGAAGTTGATAATTATTACTAGTACCTGTTTATAAATAATTTTTTTAACAATATCTTTAATTGTAAGCTGATAATGTACGATATTACAACTACACAGTTTTAGGTCTGGTTTCTGAAATTTTTTACATATACACATTAAACTTATAAGATGATAAGAATGCTATTGTTGCCAAAGAGTTGAAGGTACTATATTGTATACAAGTTAATCGAAAAAAGTTATAATTTTAAATAGGTATTTTTATATTTAATAACAGTCATGTTTAAAAATATTAATTATGGACGATAATAGTTGAATTTTTAATCATTAAACCATATTATTTAAATATTTTTAAATATATTCAAGCTAATTGTCATATTTTTAAAAATAAGATTTCAAAAAATAAAGACACAAATCTGATCCTTGTATACTACAAATTGAAGATAAAAGTTAAGTTAAAATTTATTTACTAATCAACATTTTTTGAATAAAAAAAATATTAATAACATGAAAAATAAAAAATTCAAATAGATATTATTACAGTTAATATAATAATTTGTTGAACCTAAAAAACTTTTGCTGGGAAGTAAATATTGACTAATGAAATTCTATTGGTGGTAAAATCTCATTAAAACTTTATTGAAGAAGTAAATCATCGATGAAAAAATTTAACATCTAAAACTTAGGAGAACGGATAAAAAAATTACTAAAGTAAATGTTCGTGATTATATAGTATACGATTCGCATAATCACCGAGTTCTGGAATTCCTAAACAATTTTTGACGATGATAACAATATCTAGATAAAACTGATCACCAAACAGAACACTTATAACTTACTACTATGTAGTGCTATACTTCATATAAATTATAATTTAGGTGCTATTGCAAAAATTATGTCCACCCTATAATTAAACAAAAACAAAAATTGATCAATTGTTATTTATTTCTTGACTAGAATTTTAAGAAAAGACTGACATAATGCAGTTCACGTGACACTGATAATAATGTAGTTAATAGATATAAAAAACATAAAACTCTAGTTATAAATTATAGAAAAATATTGTAATTAATTAAAAAAAATTATCTTACTTTTCCATCCAATCTAATAACTCTTTTACCAGTAGCTGTTCCGTGTTCAAATTCTATTTCATGAACACCGTCTACTAACGGTAGTTTCCACACCGCCACCGTGTCTTCGTTATATTTTGTTTTCTCTGTCATTAGTCAGTAATCAAACAGACTCTATACAAAACTTTTTGGCGTTCAGTTAACAAATCAATATTAGTTAAATAGTAATGATTCAACAGTCGGTGTTCAACTGTTCTGTGAGTATTATAATCGCATACCTTGATCACCCCTTATTACTATTTTATAATTGTCACAATGTTTATAAAATGTTGTTATGGAAACAACCATTATTTTATTTTATTTTATTTTTTTAGGTCAATATATACAATTGATAGTATAATAATTGTCTGGTGTATTTATAGGAATGAAAATGTTTTTTTTTCTTCAGAAAATCAGATTTCCTGCTGTACTGCGACATCATCTGCCACAAAAGTAGTATATTCATTAATACAATAAGTTTTAAAGTATATTCTTATAAAATGATACTAATACATAGGTACTACGTATACTTTTTTCGTATAAATTATTTTAATTTTTAAAATTTAGTCGCTGTTACGAAATATATAGGTATCTACATTTTGATAAAAAATAGTTTTAAAAAATGTGGGTAAGATTTAAATTATATTATTACATTACACAATATTAAAAGTTTTAATTTAGAATAAATTTATTGATGGATAACTATAATATAAAATAATTTGTAAAGTTTTAAGAAAATCAACACAGCACCTGATATTTCAAAAACTTCAATTTTCATTTATATAGCGGATAGCCCTTTTTCTAAAAGTATAGATTTAATTCATTTTTTTTTTTTTTTTTAACAACTAAATTCTTTACGTTTGTAGATAGTATAATTAGCATAATCCAAAAAGGAATATTTTAGAAAATAGTTCTTGTTGGATTGAGCGAAGAGTCATTTAGATACTTCAATTTATCATAAATTAATAAAATTAGATTCCCAAAATCTCGCACTTAATTTATTGAAAACACCAATTGATGAAGATTTGTAATTTTTATGTATGAAACTGTATAGCTTGGTGTAGTTATAACCAGTGGTGTATTGGTAAATATATTTATGGATATACGGACTACTAAATTATGTATATAGTCAACCTAAAAATTTTTTCTCACTCCGCTCGAATAATTTTTCCTTGTTAGTCGTCACTCGTTACGCTACAACTTAATCCCTTATATCATGTTTATATCTATTAATTTCTAAGTTCTAATGTATTACTATAAAATTAAAGACCGGGAACGTTAAGTATCAGTGTCCACTCGTTCAGCAAACATTGTTATCATATATTGCATATTTTTGTTTCAACATTGTGTCATCACAATATTCAAAATTTAAAACAATAAGCGATTTTTAAATTAAATTTTTTTAAATATTATTACTATTCATAGTTTTATAATAAATTAATTAATAATTAAACCTCAACGTATACACATAACGAATAAAGACAATGCAATTTTTAAATTCTTAACGAACGCTCTAATAGTGAAGACTTATTACATGATATTTAGATACTCTTTAGAAATAAAAACTTTTTTTTTAATTACTAATCAGTACCAATTTATCTTTTTTACTATAAATTGTTATAAACAAATGATTCTTTTGAAAATTTTATTTTAATATAATATGCATGCATCAATGTACCTTAATCGATAATTCAAAAGACTAATATCTAAGTTATTAAACTGAATGCTTTAAAAAGATAATTTATTAAATGTTATTTTAAAACACCATATACTAATAAATAAGATAAATAATTCATTAAAACACCTTAAAAATATTTTCCTGTGAACTAAACAATATTTTTTATTTGATTTTCGAGTTATTTTATAAACGTATACTCATAAAATTATATTTTACGTTGGGTATACGCCGAAAATCGAAAATCTGCTGACAAGTATACGGCTTATATTCGCTTATCCATACCAATACTCCACTGGTTATAACTTAAGTATATATCATGAGGCCTATTTGTTCGAGATTTAGGAATACCTGATCTTCATCTAGATTTAGATTTTTAAAATGACAATATTTTTTTTTGTATAATAATATTCCCTATAGAAAAAAAATATTAGTTATATATTATAATAGTATTACAAAAAATTGTTAAATACATATTATGAAGATAATAAAATAATTTTTATCATAAATAATTTAAAAATATATTATTTAATTTACGATAATTAGACATATTTAGTTTATGTTGACGGTATTTGAATATTAATTTAATGGAATAATGAATGTTACCTACATGTTATAACTAATGAGATATTTGGATATTTAAAAAAAAACGCAATAAGTAAACAAAAATTGTTTGATGTAACATCAGGATCGCGGAATATTTTAATAATAACTGTCAGCCATAAAATACGCAAACCTCCATGTCAGTAAATAAAAAAGATATTTTACATTTTCTTAATATTATGGTTTTACAGTATAATTAATCTGCAATTTTTATAAAAAAGTTTTAATTTCCGTACCAAAAATTTGCTACTTTTATATGTATTTATAAATTTATAAGTAATAAAATATATGATTTTATTAACACAATATGTACCATAAAAGTATATTTTTTAAACATAATTTATATTGAAGCTAGTATAAAAATTTGTTTTATACAAATTTATAAGCATTCACATTATTGATTAACTCTTATATACATAATCATATACAATTCACTTTTCTTATCTTTTTTAATGTAAAATAAATAAGCAGAAAAACAGAATTTTTTTTAAATTAAAGTAGTTCAAAGAAGATCTAATGGGTCTAATTTTGTTGTCAATCTGGGATCGTTCAGTGGATCAAGATCAGCAAAAATATCTGCCCAATTTGATGAACTGGTTGATTTCTGTAAAGATATAAATATAAGTATAAAATAACTTAAGTAAGTGGGTGTGATTAGATTTATATCAATGCCTTCAATGAGTTATAATTGTTGATCACCTATACTATAAACTACATTAAATGAACAATAATTCTAAGCTGAGTTTTAATTTACCCAAAATTATCCGGGAATTCAATAAAATTAAGCAATGGTTTAAAATATTTTTTAGTGCCTCGACAAGAATTTTCTAAATATTATTTGATTATATTTTTTTAGAAACATATGAAATTTTCAGTCAAATTAAAACATTTACGGGTGAACTTTGATAAATTTTATCAATAGATTTGATAAATTGTTTAAAATTACAAATTTATAAAACTATTTATTTTTTTTTTTGTTCATACGTTCATACATAATGACAACAAGACAACAACTGAATCAACATAACGTTACCTATCACATATTATATTATACTGTATAGAAAGGTTGACATCGGAGAGGGGAAACTTCCCAAGACTCAGCCCCCCTCACCAAAATGTAAAAACATTCTCTTTAATCGCTACCCTTTTCCCGAAAAAAAATGTATTTATACCCTTCTCTACTATAATAATGAGTTTGCTTTCGTCAGTCGAAAATTATCAACTCACTTTAGTACTCGTATTAACGGCTGTACTTGACCCAGTTGACCCGGATAACAAGTCCGACAATAATTGGGACGGTAAAAATTCATCTCCTGTTCCGAGTAAGTTTCCTTTAAGTTCTGAGTTTTTCTCTTCTTGATTACTTTCGTAAGGATTTGATAAGAAATTTCCAAAATTTTCGCTTCCGTCAAACAACGAAAGCAAAGGGGATTCGTTTGTTTCTTCTACCTGGTCGCAAGTTGCTTCAATACCCAATTCCGTATACGAACTAATGGAAAATTTAAAATATGACTTAAGCATTATTCACTACATATTAAATTTAGATATAATAAACAAATCAACAATATTAAAATTAAATTACACAGAAAATTTATACCTTGAATCATTGGTATTATCTTCTGTCTTGGACGTAGCTTTTACAGATTCCGTTCTCAACTCTTTAATCATTTTGAAGTCATAATGTTGGTACTCTATGGTTAAAAAATAATCATATTATAAATAAATAATGGTATCTATATAGTAAAATATGAAAATATGGCATAATAACGACTAACTAGAACACATCAAATATTATTTAAGAAAGATTATTTAAGTTAAAAATTAAATTCAAATAGAGATTGAAATTGAAAAAATAAAAATAGGTAGGTAGTTAAGTGAAAATAATTACATCATGCAAAAGTGTAACCTATAAAATAACAGAAATAAGAGTTGAAAATAATTGATACCAATAGTATTGATTTAATTAAACAACGTATCTTGAATAATTAAAGTTTTAAATATTTATAATAATTATATGATTCAATTCAAATTTAAAAAAAAAACACTATTTAATTCCTTTCTAAACTATTTAGCTATATATTGATTAAAGAATAAAAACTTCATATAGAAATACCGATTGATCCGTTTAACATCAATACTTATTATTTAAAATACTATTTACGTTTGTTGTCACTCAAAAGAATAAAAAAATTTAAAAAAAAAACATCATATCTTTTTTTCAAAAATATTATATTGTAATATGTATAATGTTATTAGTTATATTTGCAATATATTTATTTTTTAAACAGTTATGTTTTCTGGAATAATTGGTATTTTTTAAGATAGAATCCATAAAAGTTTTTAACTTTTAAGACGTAATTTTAAAATTATGTAATAAAATTAATATAGTTTAGCTACAAAAAAAATTGTTATTAAAAATATAACTATTGATAATGTTTTTTATGTTAAATGAATTATAACGTACACAACTACCGATACCGTACTATAAGTATTGTGCATACGTTATTCGTGAATCTTTTTTCGAATGAAATAGCTTATTATAAATAATAGTGTATTATGGTACACTACAATCTTAAAATAAGAAGATCAAAATTAATCGAGTGCTTAACACTCTTTCACTGTCCATAAATTGTTGTACCACCTTAGTAGAAGGGGTTTGACTCAGGCGATAATCCGTTGGGCCCTGGCCGCGGTGGTCACTCAATACGGCGCCCGAGGTGAGGTGGCACCCTGGGAGGGTCTCCAGGACAGATGTGCGGGTTTCTTGCCCGGAAGAGACATACGATATAGGGGTCGAGTGTCTTCGGGGTATCTCGGAAGAACTGGTTGGACCCCGCAACATACGGAAAGATATCCATAAATTGTTTTGTATTGAGATACGAATTTAATAATAGTTGTGTGATAATATAATGCTAATTAATTCTAAACGTAAGTACGAAAACATATTCTTCACCAATAAGATACAGGATATGGTTATTGATTTGATAAGACGAAATATAAATGCAATTTAATATGATGTACCTACTCCAGTTCCTGACATAAAACTGCAGGTAACAGTATACATTTATATAAAATGAATATAATAATAATATCTAGTGTAACTGATAAGGTTAGGTCATATAATCTTTAGGCTTACGTCTAAAATCTTTAGTTGCGTGCTCAAACGATGCTGCAACGGATTCGGCAAATCGCTGTAAACTTTGTTGATAGAAAATAAGGACGTGTGAAAACATATTGCAACGCGCAGCGGCAAGCAGGTCGACTTTTTGTAAGCAAATCAATTTTTGATGATCGAACTGCTGTTTGGACTTTTTTACTTTGGTCTGTACGTTTTTAAATTTATCTAATTGTGAATTGGTGTCAGGATCTAGTTCTTGAGAAACGTCTTTCATCCAATTCAGAGCAGCCCTGTAGTCTGTACGGGCATTTTCCATACGTTTCACATCGCTCTGTGTATCTTCTACAGCTCTTAAACAAAATGTTTCTATTTCCTGTATAACACATTAATATCAAATCATAAATAAAGAAATTATAACATTTTATGAATTTATGCAATTCAATCATCTATTCGAGTAAGAGAAGAACGACTTTATCAGCTCAGTAATAATATTATTTTCGAAAAATCATTAATCTGCAAAATATACATTACGTACATACGCCACATTTACAACACAAAGACAGATCTAATATCTTATAACAAATGATCATACGAAATTTAAAATAAGTCACAATTTTTTTTTGTAAATACAACTATAATAAAGTTAATTTCAACTTTTAATTTTATATTATTTTGTTAAAAATATCGGATCATAGATTTACTTTGGTTCAGTTCAAAATATTAGATCATTATAAATTTTAAAAATGACAATCTGCAGCTGTTTTGTTATTTATTTTATAATATCGTAATGGGTTTGAATAAATTAAATGATAGTTTTAATTTTTGCCTTTTAAAATAATGTAAAATAAAAAAAAATTAGAATTATCGTGCTATTTCAATATTTTGATAAATTAAAATCTGAAATATCACTTTTATATTTTTTTTTCTCCATTATATACTAATTGTATATGGTAATAAATAATAATCAACTGTACATATTATAGGAATTGTATTTTATATTTACATTGCTTTTTAATTTAAGACTTTTTTTGTTTTTTATTTATTTTATAACATTATAAGATAATTAATAATTATAATTTTCTAATCCTATTTATACCTGGTGTAACCTGGCTAGTGGCGTACGTAAACCAATTCTCTCTTGTCCTGACTGTGCCATACAACTTCCCAAAATTTGCATCATTTCACCAGCTTTGGTTTGATCTTTGTTTCCAGATTTTTTTAAAAACAAGCCCATTTGATTTTCTTCATATGCTAAATCTTCAAAAATAAATAATATAATTTTATTCACAAGCATTAGAAAATCACTTTACTATATTTTTAGATTTGAGTACAAATAGCGTGTCTTTTATTAGTATTAGTTATATCATATTAAAAAAATATATTGTTATCTATCAAGATGTAAATGTAAAATACTTTACTTGTTATATATGTAACACATCGGACTATTTTGCAAGCATATGAACCAGTGGTAGTGCGCAACCTTTTTTTGATCCACGACCCCCAAAATTATGTATTTTAATAATATGACTCCCTCTTATTCCTACCAACATTATGTAAGTGTATAATATATATTAACTTAATGTAAATTAATATATATATATGTCTTAATGTATACAAACATTTTATTCATAAAAATTAAATCGTTAAATTTTAATATTTCTTTAATTTAATTAATCCAAAACATAAAAAAAATAAAAATAACCATGAGATTAAATAAAATCACTGATTAAATTCAATTTAAAAATAACCCATGTATACTGCGCAATTCGATAGAACTTATTATCGCAACATTACAATATAATATAATATTACGAGTGACACAGCCATCGATGGTACAATATAATTTTACTTTATATAAAACTATAAAATAATATACATAATATATAACTTTTTCATTTGGTGTAAAATTATTGACGACTCCCTAATAAAATTTCGCGGCCCCCAAGTTGCGCACCACTGGTATAAACTATTCTATCAATACAATAGTAGTCGGTAAGTTAGATATGTGATGACATATTCTTTATAAATGCAAAAGTTTTAAATAAATAGTTAATGGATTGAACTCAAACAATACTCACTATAAATTTTTTCATCGTATTTATTGACAATCCTTTGCAAATGTTGACAACTGCCCCGAATAGACTTAAATAGTTCTAGTTTAGCATCAAGTTCAGCGTCCGAAGCTACTATGAATTCGTCGTCCTTTTTCCCCAATTTTTTACATACTTGCTGTTTAGTTACCCAGTATTTGTGTTGCATTTTAGCTACAGTTGAGCCATTGGCGTTGTTTTGCCAACGGTTCAATCCTGGAGCATCATACGTATTCCTAAACAAAAATACATGTCTTATTAGTTATTAGATAAATTATTTTAAATTTTGAATTTTAATTGCGGAACTATAATTTAATGTTTTCTAAAATATGGAACCAAAAATGTATTTCCAACAAATAATAATAAAATTATTTATTATCCTAGCTCATTTTCATCAATATCATAGAATATAGACTATACGACGTTAGCTATAGAGAAACCATTTCAAAATGACATAATAATAAACAGACATAACATGATATTTTTGGTAAATCCTACCAAAAGCATTTTCTAATCAGATTTTGGAACATGCAAATTCCACACCTTTAAGATGAACTGGTTAAATAAGATATTAATAATGATAAAACATAAAAGGTAAATATGCTTATTAAAATAATGTTAACGATGGTAAAAAGTATAATATTAATAATAATAGTAATAATAGCCAAAATGTACACATATGTAATAATTATTACTATTTAACTTTACATAGATATTACAGATGTACGATAACACAATGTTGGAGGCGTGCCCGCAATATCAAAAATATGTAATATAATTATAGTTACTCACCATCCCGATTCCGAGAGACTCATAATGATTGAACGTTACAGGATGTCCGACAAAATTTTCGAAAAAATTCGAGTGTTCACGTAGAAAAAAAACTAACTTATAATATTGTATTGACACACACGCTCTATGCGTACGGTGATAGTGTGCGTGGATACGAGCGCTGCGGACTAGATTAAAAAGGAATTCACTAAGTACATAATATAGTGGCCACGACGACCGTTTGCGACGCGGTGTAAACAGCTAGCTTACAGAGGACGTGTGACGATAACAATATATGATTACTATTGTCGTTAGCAGCGAAATTTATGCATATTTGTCTTAAATCGTAGAATATTAATCGTGGCGAACGACGAAACAGGCGATTTTATTTTCCGTTTGTTTTTACATTTATTGCAATAATATTGTTGCCGTTGTTTTCTCCGTCCGATGAGATTTATACGGAAATCGGTGGATGAAAAATAAAATATCGATTATGAATTCGGGCGCGCGAACCGTCTGCATGCGACCTTACAGCGAAAATGATGTCGTCATACGCCACCACTTGTGTAAACGGTTGTCGGTTGGAATGGCGACCGGAGGAAATCAATACTATACCGGGCAAACGCGTTCGCGGGGTGCCCCTATAGAATAGTGTTATGCACTACCTTTCGCAGCTGTTACTCACTATAGCGTAGCGTAGAAATGATAGTGTTAACACGCGCGCAAAGTTTTTGAAATTTTTTTTGACCGCAGAAGGGTCTATTGTTTTTAATCAAAATAATTTACATACAATGAAATCGAGGTAACGTTTGTGGATCCGAATATAAACCACAAAATATAGTTTATAGGTAATATATTATAGTACACGCGCGGGCGCATTCGTGCAATACGTATACTTCATATTAATTTTATTTACGTTCGAACCGATTTAGTATTTAGACGTTTTATTCGTGACTATACGCGAAAATAATTTAATGTAAATATACCTAAACGCTGAGAGTTGTTCATGGAATTTCTTATCGCAGACGCACAAATATAATATAGTAGATGTGTAAAAGCGTTACGAATTACGGTATAAACTTTATAAAACCATATTATGAGCCAACGAACTCACAAATATTGTAGATTCGTCATGTATGAACCTGCTAAGCATTGTCATAATCTACAGGAAAAAAATCGTTAGACCAAATAAAAATGTAATACCTACCGGATGGTTATTGGTAAATGGATAATTAATTTATGATAATAAAATAAAAACTAAAGGAAGTGCATAATATGAATGATAAATTATGTTATCGAGACAGTGATTGTGGGGCACAAACTCGGCACAGGCTTATAGCATGAACCAACGAAACAAGTTTCACACAGTCGCACAGATGTCCTCCAAAAGAATAAACCCGATTCGTTTAATAAAAGAGAGTCCGTGAAAACACCATTTTTAAATGTATTTAGTCATTGAATCCAGAGCATCTTTACGTCAAATGTCTTAAGAATATTAATTGTTTGTGACTTAGAAATATCGCGCAGTATTAAAATATTTTGAAATTGAGTTTATTTTGTATATTAAGTATATTTTTACTATCATTTCAAAACTACAACAAATTTATCGCTGCAGCAGTACGGCCAGTACCAGTATGGTTGTTATATAGATGGGTATGCAACACTAAACACATTTTGGCTCAACAATTAAACGAGTATCTGAGTCAGTAACGAACACCCTGGTACCCATCAGGGTTCTAAAGTTTTAGTGGTGCTTCAGTCCTTTCCATTGACCACGTTAAAATATAGGTGCATTTTTGAAAACAATTTAGCATTGAAAATTTGAAACATAAAGATAATAAATCTATAATTAAATAAATTTGACCTATGTACAATGGTCATACATTACTAAAACGCCCAAAATATAACATTATTATTATTTATTCATCTTACCTACACGTCCATACTAACGTAACTCGATGCAAAGATTTAACAAAAATTATACATAATTCAAAGACGTAATATTACCTACGATTTTATTGACCTGTGTTAACTTTAGCCAGAACATAATTAATATTACTAGTGTAACGTACCAACGGTGCATGATTTGAGTGAAATTATATTATCCTCCAGAACCTTTTAGCTTTTTTTTCTGTATTAATTTGTTTTTACTTTTTAGGGTACAATATTTATCAGTTTGATATAAAAATTAACTGGAACATATCCTGTAAGCTGTATAATGTATAATTATAAATCGACTGCAGTCCATATTTTTTGCACGTTCGCGTCGACAGAATAAGTAGAATGTTTTTTCCGTCTTTAAATTTATGTACAGTTCTATTAGATCAGCTTGACATATGTACAAAAGATAATTAACATGGATAGGCGATTATTACTATATTATTAATACCTATTAACTTAAATTGAGTAACTTAACTATGTAATATATCTTCACAGACATCTGTAGCTAAAAATACCATGTTAAGTATATCAAGAATCAATAATGTAAATCCTTATTATAGGCAATAATAGCATACAGTGTCCCAAGTATATTATGAAATAATGAAACCAATATTGCCACTTTATCAAGAATGAAACAACAACAAATTAAATTCTGCTGAATTCTGATGTCAAAAAATAATGTTTCTCATTCATAATAGATATTATTATTTTGTAATGCACTATGTGTTGCACGTATGCAACTGTATGTGTAATACAGGATTGTAAGTGTCTTGCGTTTCTATAGTTTACAAAATAACAACTATACCTATTTGGTATTTTTAAATTTCTATCGTAGTATCGTGAGATTGATATGGATACATGGTTGTATATGTGTATGTTCATTTTGTGTGTGTCTATACAATGAGATTTACGATATTACTCTTCCAAATTATGTATTTAATATTTCGAGTAGTTAGTGGATCTAATAGTTATTACTGTACAGGTTCAAATAGTGGTATGAGTGGTAACATACATTTTAAATGTATAAAAAACACTATGCAACAGCACTTCGTGTGAAACAATAATTGACTATTTAGATAAACCCGGACCGGACGTAATTATAGATACCAACAATAAGGTATTGTTGAATCTTGAAATCGAAAACATTTCTACTATTCACGTAAGTTGTACAACTAGCCTATCCATAATAAAATAAATGTATTGTTTTACAATCTTAACCTAATAATCACAGAGGATAATTTAATAATAGAATATATTTTATGCGTACATTTTAAATACGCTTATTAAGTGCCTTACCATCTCACATTTCCGCGGACCCCAATATACAATATGTATTTGTGTAGCCGGATATAAATACCAACAGCATATACAATCATGAAAGTTGCCATTTTATTTAAAAGAATATTAATGTATAGCTATTACTCAAATGTCTAACCATAAAAATTTAACGGCAATGTTTAAATATTTAACTGTTTCTTTTGACGTCTTAATTTATGTAATGTACAGTAATGATCAATGGTTTGTCCATTTATAATGATAGGTAGTTGGTACGTGTTTTTATTAGTTTCACAAATTTTTGTACAATCCGTTCTATATTTTGTATCTCTTGTATACAACGATTTAAATTCAGTCATTATATACAGATTTATTAGTTATGTTTTTAATATTATCTCGTGGATATAAACTACCTGCATCGCATTCAAACTAAAACGAAGTTGTTTAATAATAGTGTAAATAAAAAATTATAATGTGTATAGCAGTTATTTTCCTGTAAAAATTTAAAAATTTAGTATAGTGCCCAATTAAAACGAGTAATAATAGAATAAGATGTTGTTTAGTGTCCTATCTTTCTTCTTCTGTCGATATAACTTCTTTCTAAAGTTTTTTCTAAGAGTTTTAATTCTCTGAAAATGTTTAGGCTTCCGATATGAAACAAAAATTACAAATATTCACTAAAAAGTAGATTTATTTATTCAAAATAGGTAGGTATTAAATAGTGCTTTTAAAAACGAATTATAACAATGATGGAATTTATCATCGTCTGGTGTGGTTTTAACTATTATATTAGTGTATGAAAATTTCATGAAATTTAAATTTGTGAAATATTTCGGTATTATAATACATTTTTTTCTTTAAATAAATTTAATTTTTACATATTGTTGTCATAATTAACCTTCACAATTTTATAATATTATCAATGGTAATGGTTATACCTAGAACTTTTAGTTTATATAATTAATAATTGATAAATAGCCATAATTAATATTTGTGTTAGAAAAAATTTCAATATTTCACGTTTTTGTGAAACAAAAAAAAATTTCAAATACTTATCAGTATTGAAAAACATAAACCTTAAAACTAAATACAAAATGTTATTATTAGTTTATTTTTATATACTTTTAACTTTATAACTCTTTTAGTTTACTCTCGATAAAGAAATACGTTTTTGGTTATAAATATAATATATATGATATGTATAACACATTAAGTATTAAAATTATGTGTAAAATACATACTTACATAATATTATGGTTATATTCAAATACAAAATCTTATATTTCAATGTTTACCAGGTACTATTTATTAATTATGTTCGTGATTCAATAAATTCAAATTTCACAATGTATCGTCTCTTGAAACCAATCGTTTTAAAAGTACAGTTAGCTGGGCCAAGAGAGTTGTATAAGTTACGCTTTATAAATGTGAGTACTATTATTATTTTAGTTAAATAGGTAATTATTACTGTTTAAAAAAAGTTATGACAATGTTAATTATTTATTATACAATAATAAATTGTATATAAATATAATATATTAATATATATTAAGAAGGTGTTAACTTAAAAAAAATAAAAATATTCCACTTATATAAATAAGGACCACCCTAACATATTTATATATATTTTATTTATTGTGTAACTTTTAAACTATATCACAATATTATTCTTTATTTTATGTGAACTTTGGTTGTTCATATCATAAAAACTAAGTCCAACCTTTGCCAGCTACCAGATTCTTAATATATTCTATTCTATAGAAGTTATCAATTTATATTTTTGGAGTGATATATTAAGAATTCAGGAAATTTTTAGGAGTTATCAATATGTATATTATATTTAATTAAAGAAATGGTACTGAACAAAATCAAAAAAATTAACGAAAACCTTATTTAAAAAATAATTTTATATCTGATAGCTAACTTAACTTTACGGTATAATTAGAGTGCATTAATATGAATATGAATTACTTATCTATAATACGCACAATAAATTATTATTATGTGCTCATAATTAATTATTTTTGAAGTACGTAAATGGTGGACCAACAGAAGAAGTCATCAGTAAAGCGACCCGGAAGAATTACTTTGGATGCGATTCTGGAAATATTAACCCAACGTGCGGTGTGCAATATTATGGCTTAAATGAACCGGTGCCTTTTTCAAAAGCAAGTAAATTAACTCTTGAAGTTAACGAAATAATAACTCAAAGTTCGTTCTGTTTATAAAGGGTTTTTGTTGTTCGTGTCTTGATTCGGTCAATGCTGCACGTCAACAAAGATCATCCGAGGCAGTTAACAAAAATAACATTTCAATAACGACCAACAATGATATTGTCATTCAACCAAGAGGCGAACAAGATTGTAAAAACATTAGTGAAAGTCCTAGTTATGCGAATTCATTTGCTTACCACGAGAGTGCGCATTGTTTTAGATATAGCGATTTATGGTAATACCTATATTGTAATACTTAGTATTTATAGTGATATTATTTTAGATCCTGAATGAAGCAACAAATGTATTGATTTTACAATGATACAATTTATAGAGCAAAAAATGCTTTGATCTTAATTTTGAAGATAGTCTCTCTGTCTCTAATAGAAAATTGGATCTATTTGGTACTTGTGAGAGATAAAATTGGAAATTTCCAGTAATTTTCAAAACTATTGGAAAAAAAAACAACGGAAATATTTACACCAAACCGATTTTCGACAATATCAATCGTATTTTATTATAATACAAATACGAATAATTTTTGATACTTGAAATTTTCATGAAATTAGTGTACTTCCATTTTCAAAATTTGAATGAATCCAAATATTTAAACAAAGAACAATGATTTTAAGAATTTATCGTGATTCAAAAATATTATTCTTGAAAAATAAAAATTTTTACGTATATTGCTATATTTTACTACAAGTAAACAATGACACTTTCAAAATATTTAGATGAATTTTAAGTCTATTTTTATTTTATACCGAATAACGCCTACTATTATCTACACCTCTCCCCCACTCATATAAAAATATGCAATAATATGTATTATACCGAAAATATAAAAATATTAACCATTTGTTTTGTATTAATATGAGACGGGTTTGTGTACATTAAGCTTACTAAATATTTAAAAAAAAAAGTTACAAAAAAAATTTATAAAAGCATTTACATTTTAGCCATATTAGTTATTATTTCATACAACAGAAAATCAATAGGAATGATAAAAATAGCACACGTACCGATGAAGATCACCAAACATTAATTATAATTTATAACAGCAATATTATAATATATAATTACAACTTTATTTAGCGATATTTGTTTATTATTATAACTTACACAGGCTCAATGTTTATAAAGTAGAAAAATCAGAAACAGTCTTGCCACTAACATTGGAATTATTCAAAAAAATTGAAAGTAGTAGCGTTTACGTACTTCAGCAACAAAGTTCATCTTCACTGTAAAAACAAAGTTTAAATAATTTACACATATTATTTATAAAATATATTTCCACAGATCAACCAACAGGAAACTGACCATTTACAAAAATTTAGTATCGTACCGATACGAGGTCAAAGGTTTAAATGAAACAGTCGACAACGACTTGATGGCCATGTTTATTCTGATACCTCAGGACATACCTAAAGCTTATCAATACGGTCTCCCGCACTTAAACAGTATGTCATCAAAGAATAATTAAATTCATTATATTATTTCATAATAATACTCATATTATTTGTGTGTCTAATTACATTTATCAACTTTACTATAGCTTCAACACACTTCATTTACTGAATGAACATTATATGGTTTTATTTTTTTATTTTAATTCGTAGACCATAATAATTATTTAATAAGTGTAAATTAATTTGCGTTTCGGTCTGCTTTTAGAGAAAAGTCGTTATTGATGTTTGAATTTGTGTGTTGATAGCAATGGTAAAGCCAGAATTTGAATGTAGGGGTAGGAGAGGGGTGTTGGGAGAGGCTCGATTAAGATCTCTCGTAAGTTTGGTATGACAGTGGCTTTCAACCAGTGATCTACAAATAAAATCTAACTTTAAAAATAAAACCTCGATTATCCGTGAGGGCGTAAATAATATTATGAAAAAAGCCACAGTAAAAGTAAAAGCATATTGTTCTTTATACTAATAGACATTAGTTATTATTATCATTTTAGACATTATTTTTAGTATTAATATTTCAAATTAAATAATTACACAACATTTCACCCGTTTAAATCTAATAAATACATTAATATTCGATGAATGTATAATAGTTACGTGACATCACGATAAGTGATAATAAATCATGATGCTGACAAAAAGGTCGAGATTTTCCTAAACATTACTGTATATTACATCGATTTTATTATTATTTAAAATGTATTCGAATTACCTAAATACCTAATTGCACAATGTCCACCCTGCCTCGTACCACAAGTTGTCAGTACGTACAAAATGGTTCTGCTACTTCTGCCAGATATCCACGGTCGCCGCCGCCGTTGTCATCATCGTCGATATCATATATAATCATCGATAGCTTCAGTAATGCACTCTTTTGCAGATCAACCGGCCGGAAAGTACCTCGCTATCCATCCGAGCAAGATGTCGAAAAACGGCGGTGCCGAATGCGACAAAATCGGAGTGGAACCACGAGCTTTCCACGAACAACCGGACAGGTGTTATCGGCCGCGAGGCAGCTGTCTCGGCCAACAGCCCATCCAACTGCTGCGGCAGCGGGAGGAAGACTGCAGTGGGGAGCCTTTGGCGGGCTCCACAAGTGGCCGTTTGTTCGTCGAAGACTATGTAAAAGGCGACATCAGTTTCGACAACGTGGCGGACCACATTATCGTGGACCGTCAACCGTTCTCGTCCGATGCCGAAACACCCGTTTCCGTGCAGAGCGTCGGAGAGGTCAGACTAGACGACAACGCAGTCGTCAACGACAAGTATTATCTATAATCTCTATTCAATGGTAATAAAAAATAATTTATGACATTCAGATGATAACATTAATAAAATACATGCAATTCAAAATGACCCAACTTATCACCGAGGATATCCTCTTATCGGTAAAGTTGAAAAGTATTAATAGTGAAAAAAATCAGTTTCTCTACATACCGTTTTCTATTATGTTATTTCAAGATACGGCAAAAATGTTTGAAATATATAGTTTTATTGGTTTTTATTGGGTGAATATTTCGGTAGATAATTTTGTTGAAAGTAACTAGTAATTAGTTTTAGCATGACTTTTTGTTAGAGTGGTCTTCTCACTCCTAATAATATGATCATTATATTATAACAAATTTTCCTCGTTATCGGCATATAATTAAAACGTAATACGACCAGGATTTCTGACTAATAATTTGTGTAATATACTATATAAATCATGATATTATACCTTTCAGCCATTATGATAACACGTTTTTTTTTTTAATATTAGAAATTTTCTATAGGGTTTTACTTCAGATAAGCGAGATACACGCGATTCTTGACAACGGCTGTAATAACACCGCAAAATTGCTCGTATTCGTGACGAATTTAGGTTTGAAAACAGCAGAATTCTTCATTGACACTTCTGGTCAATCAGATTTGAAAAAAATCGAAAAAAAACGGGGACAAGTGATTGTACATCCCCAACAGACCGAAAAGATATTTATGGCATTCGAATGCCACACTAACGAGTGCGTCGCAACCGGTGAGCTGTACCTATTTATATTTTTAAGTACCTATTCGTCAGATAATACAACACAGTGTGTTGAATTTACATGCAACCAACGTCGTTGTGTAGTACTAAACACACTTTCACGTACAATTTCTCGAAACAACGAACACGATGCGTATTTGTTTCTAATAATTTTGAAATATTTCTTTAAATTTTTCACAACAGTAATAATTTTTTGGGTAAAATAAATCGTTGGACATTCCGATCACCTCATGATAACTCTGTTTCAAAATATTTCATACAAAAAAATCTGAAAAATATGACGTTTTTGGAATTTCGTGTAATATAGATAGGTATGTACAGGAAGATCTCACAAAAAACTATACAATTTTTTACTTTCGTTTTTTGTTTTAATCATAAAAAATATATACCAATGCAAGACGTTTGAAACTATGGCCTGATCCTACCTGTAACGGTTATTATACACTCGTTTTTACGTAGGTACATTGTATGTCGTATTGTCGTATTGTCGTAATACGTACACTGGCCAAACACTGGCGCACAGCTAGGGAGAGCGCATCGTCGTGAAATTTATTCCGGTGCGTCTGTTTTCCAGTGCGATTGTACGCCAACCAAACCGCCGCCACCACTGCCACCGCAGTGGCGTCCAGAAAATTCAAGATCGTCCGAGGTTCCGGCTGCTACTGCCTGTGGCACAGACGGTGCAAGTGTTACCAGACCGTATCCCCGTGTACCACCGGTGGCCGATCGCTGAGCCAGGCACAGTACACTGCGGCCGGGTTTCTGGGCGACGTGCCCCCGAGGACGGCGGTCGCCGAGGAGGCCGTCCGCGATCGAGACACGCTGGTCGCCAGTCTCGTCTTGCTGATCGGCTACTTGGCCGTGGCGTTGGTCCTGGGCCTGCTCAAAGGTATGTCGCCGTACCGCAGCCACTGGCTGTGGATAGTCGGCCCAGGTAAGCGGCACTTGGACGCGTACAAAGAACCGGAACTCAGAGCGTGCCCAGTGACCCGGGACGACCGCGGTTACTGCGTGCACCCCGTAACCAGGTCCCGGCACATACGGCTGCTGGACAGGGGACAGGAATTCGTTGCCAACGCGCTCTTTTTCGTCAGCCTGCCGACCGCCGCGGTGTACCAGGCGTACTGCAACCTGACGAGCGATTGCTGTTTCCAGGCCCAAGAACTGCACTCGTCCTATTCCACTGCTTTGTCGGCCAACGGGAAGTTCCATGACTGTTGCGATTTCCCGTTTCTGCAAGAATCGAGTGCATCGGAAAACGTCGAATGACGTACACGATGCATAATCCGGCTCGCAGCAACATTGTTATTGTCTTTCTACTAATAATATTATTATTGCTATATGTACAGTTATTACTATACCACCACACCAGCCGTTTTCGGGGCGAGTCGTTATCGCTACACGTAAAAAGACTTACCTTTAACTACATAGCGTTATGCACTGCAGTCCACCATATTAAGTAGATTAAAAAGTATTATAAAATATACGTACCCATTTGAAATTTCATGTTTCCACGTGATTTACGGTTCACAAACTACGTTTAAAAGTTAAGACGGACGTCGTTCATAATCGCACACTTTCAAAAAAAAGGTCGTCGTTCAAAACCGCACACTTTTATAATTTTATCCCGCATATTTTCCCCAAATTAAACCGTTCAATACCACACGCATCAATATATTTCAATAATATATACATTTATCTAAATTAATATTATCATTTAGTACCGCACACCATATTTTTTAATCAAGGTCAAAAAATCTTAAACCAAATTTAGACTCGTACGAAACGATAACGTAAACCGTACATATAAAGTATGTAGGAAAAAATATATTTTAAATTTATAAAATCGTTTCATGACCAAGGAAATACATTTAATTGATTATTTAAAAACATTAGAGTGTACATTTATTTCAATTTAATTATACATAAAATCGTTTTTAATTTGTACTAAATTATTTTTTTATAATATAATATGCTTAATTTTTGTCAATCAAATGAGTGCGGTTTTGAACTATCAACCTTTCAGATTTACCTTTTTAACAATAGAATAAATATGTGCGGTATTGAACGGTGTAAAATATGCGGTTATGAACGGTAAATGTGCGGTAATGACGACCACCGGTTAAGACAATTGAAAAACGTGAAGCCATCTTATGTAGGTACAGGTTATAAATCTTAAAAATAACCTTGGATATAATATAGGTACTTAAGCTGACGTTTGTCAGAAAATCTCCGCAGTCTGTTCAGAATCGTTTTTCGTGTGCTATGAATAGCTATCATCGAATTTAATTTTCCTTCACTACATAGGTACTGCTTTCAGCCAATAATATCAATCATCATCGAAGGTATACTTGCTTAAGATAATATAAAAATTGAGTTTAAAAATTTTAAATGTGAGCTTTACAGTGTTTTTTTCTTGTCTGACCAATGTTGCAACGTAAAACATAATACCTAATTATTAAGATAAAATCATTTTTTAGTTAAAATCTCAATAAAAAATTTTAAAAATTTATACTCGGAATCGACCATGGCGGAAATTTGCTGTTTAACTAAATTATTTAAATCATTGACTACTGATTAGTAGGTACTAATTTACTTATAGTACTAGTAGCCAATGCCCAGTAGGTAGGTAATAAGTACATTATAGCGCTCTTAACTATAATAATTTATGCGGTGTTGCAGTAAATATCATACGGTTGGTTGATATTATATGGTTTTATAGTTTAAATATATAATAATAATTAATGATTAGTGGTTGCCTCCAAATAGGTAGGTAATAAATTGCATTGCACTTTTTTGATTCTGACATATTTATTCTAAATATTTTTTGAAACCAAATACCAGTTTTGTTAATAAATAATAATCAAATTTTATTAACCTAATTATAGTTTAAGATAACTTTTTTTTTTTGGGGGTAAAAAAGAATAAAATGATGGTTTCATATTATAATAATTTAATATTTTAGAGACATATTTATACAATTATACTGGGCACTAGCCGATTTTTGATACCTATATCAACCTTAATTAAAAATCATATTTGAAGTTTAAGCCAAGATCATGATATTGGTATTCTCCATGGTTCAGTGCAAGCATAGATGTTTGTCATTATCAATAAAATCCTAATATTAACTGTACACAATTTTAAAATTAACATCCAATGTTCTACTTAAAACCGTTAATGCCTATACAATATACATTATATTTCACAAAAATCGTAAATATCCTTCGATTTCCTGTTTAAGAAATATACTTGGCGACAGTGAAGCAATATTTTTGTGTACGGCGTGTTTGACCCACAACACAAGTCAACCGACGAGCACATTTCAAGTCCAACAGAATACTAACCAAATTACTAAAAAATAATTTCTTAATTCTTATTCTAATATACATATATCAAGTAGTATGATACCAAACTAGATGAATTGGTAAGTACAAAACTATCTTTTTGAATACTTTGATTATCTTCACTAAGACAATAAGTTTTCAAATTGTTTCACTTAAAAACAACCACAAATTGTATCAGTGTTAGAAATTAACTTTAAGTTGCAAGTAATATTAAATCTACCAATATACAATATTCCAATATCTCACATCAATATATTAAGTCAAGCAGTACTATTAATTAAAATGATTATATAATATATTTATCATATAATAAATTATTACGCTTGATTACCCATGACTTGTAAAAACTGAAAGGTTTAAAAAAGAACATATCAATACAATGAAATACAAAGAATATTCATGTGCTTGAAAATAATTTTAAATTTTAATCTCGTAAAGCTATATTGTTCAATTATAATTCAAAATAAATAAAAGCAGTGTTTTTTTAGTATGAGGGAAATGTATCATGGAATGAAAAAGCATTAAGTATAAAAAAATAATGGATTAATTTACAGAATTTTTTTTTTAAAAAAAATGTAACAAAAATTAAATTATAAGCTAATTGTTTAAAAGAAGTCTAGTTTTCATCAACTTCTTGTTCTTGTTCTTCATCAAATTCAGCTTCCTCATCAGCAGTAGCTTCTTGGTATTGTTGGTATTCAGAAACTAGATCGTTCATGTTGGATTCGGCTTCAGTGAATTCCATTTCATCCATACCTTCACCAGTGTACCAATGTAAGAAAGCTTTACGCCTGAACATAGCAGTGAACTGTTCACTGATTCTCTTGAACAACTCTTGAATAGCAGTAGAGTTACCAATAAAGGTAGCAGACATTTTCAGACCTCTTGGAGGAATATCACACACAGCAGTTTTAACATTGTTGGGAATCCATTCAACGAAGTAGCTCGAATTTTTATTTTGGATGTTTAACATTTGTTCGTCAACTTCCTTCATAGACATACGGCCACGGAATACAGCAGCTACAGTTAGATAACGTCCATGTCGTGGGTCACATGCTGCCATCATGTTTTTGGCGTCAAACATTTGTTGGGTAAGTTCAGGTACAGTAAGTGCCCTATATTGTTGGCTTCCACGAGATGTAAGAGGAGCGAAACCAGGCATGAAGAAATGTAATCTGGGGAAAGGAACCATGTTGACAGCGAGTTTACGGAGATCAGCATTTAATTGACCAGGGAACCTGAGACAAGTAGTAACTCCAGACATGGTCAAAGAGACCAAGTGGTTTAAGTCACCATATGTTGGTGTTGTAAGTTTTAATGTACGGAAGCAAATGTCATACAAGGCTTCGTTGTCAATACAATAGGTTTCATCGGTATTTTCAACCAATTGGTGAACTGAAAGGGTAGCATTGTAGGGTTCTACAACAGTGTCTGACACTTTGGGAGAGGGTACAACAGAATATGTATTCATAATTCTGTCTGGGTATTCTTCACGGATTTTGGAGATCAATAAGGTTCCCATACCAGAACCAGTACCACCACCTAAGGAATGTGTCAATTGAAAACCTTGAAGACAATCACAGCTCTCAGCTTCTTTCCTAAAAGAACAAAAACATTCAACTATTAAAAAAAAGTTAATACATTAATTTATAATTTAATGTAAAAACAAAATTTAATACGCATAGTTAAGGATAAATATTTAAATATAAGTGTCCAACATTGAGAACATTAAGTAAAATAAATTTAAGTGAAAAGAACAATACAATTATCGCATATCAACTCATAATATTATAATTAAAACAAATGGTTAAGAAATTAATTCCAAATAAATTTACAAAAATGTTTTTAATCACTCATAACACTTTTACATTAAATAAAAAAGAAAAAGAAAAAAACTAGCATCAATATTATGATTTAAATAGATGACTAGTAAAATAAATATTCTAGAAGTAATAATTGAAAACTTACCTGACAACATCTAATACTGAATCTACAAGTTCAGCACCCTCTGTATAGTGACCTTTAGCCCAATTGTTTCCAGCACCAGACTGTCCAAAGACAAAGTTGTCTGGTCTGAAAATTTGACCGAACGGTCCAGATCTGACAGAATCCATGGTACCAGGTTCCAAATCAACCAAAATGGCACGAGGTACATACTTTCCACCTGTAAATTTTTATATTATTAGTTAAATAATTATTTAAATTTAATTTAAAGAGTATCAAATTGAAAGAAAACACTACCTGATGCTTCATTGTAGTAAACATTAATACGTTCCAGCTGGAGATCAGAATCTCCGTGGTAGGCTCCAGTTGGGTCAATGCCATGTTCATCAGAAATGATTTCCCAGAACTAAAAAATTATAAAATAAAATTAATACATTTTAAAGGGCATTATATTAAGATTTTGTGATTATTATCATCAAAAATGAATTAGGCAATTAAAAAACTTATGTTAAATATAACAGTAGAACAAAAAAATATTTTTTCTAAATTAAGTTAAGAATATAAATTATCTTTTAATATTAAAACAAGTAATAATAACATATAATAACTATTAAGTTACGGTTGACTTATGATGCATAAAAAATACCAAGCTACCTAGTCCAAATAAATTAAAACTATATACAACCTTTAAAAAGAAACATGTTAAAAATTACATATCATAATAGTAATGAAATTAACTGCCTTGAACAACAGTTTAAAAATTTTATAAATTTAGTGGGTCATAAAAATTATAACATACAGTGGAATACATTAGCTGTATTTAGTTCATATTAAAGTACCTACTTAAATAGAATAATATAATTGTCATCAATTGACTAATGCCAAATTTAAATATGGAATAGCAAAAATATACCAATTTAAATCCAAATCACTTAGAAACTAATTTATTATAACTAGAATAAAATGCAATACACGCTG